GTAGTTTAAAAGATTATTACCGTCTTAGATTATTATGGTGCTTTATGACCAAATATATAGAATATCTTTCTGAATAGAAGTACTGACCAAAAACTATGGCAAGCTCACCGAATTGAACAAGTGATTTTGGAAATTAAACGAGTTATAGTAACCAAATACAATTTAAAGAATAGTGTATAAAATAGTGTGTATAATGCTTCATTACAAAGGATTATATGTATTTCTTAATATTAAGTAGTGGTCTGAATAGATCCTGTAAATGCATAAAGTACTTGGGTTATCGCATTCAAACATGATATAAGAAATATAATGCAAATATGAAATACAATTCTTTGTTGCTTATAATTATATATGGTTTTAAAAATAAAGCATGGTTTTATCGGATAGCCAAAAATAATGTGCAGTTATATGATTTCAAAATTTGAAATATTCCCATAATGTAAATTTAGAACAACATATATATGTTGTTCTAAAGTTATATGATTGTAAATTATTATATGAATATAATCATATATACCACGAATATGTTAGACTAAGATATTACCGCATATTATGAAATTTACAGTTTATATGTAACTAATTCAGAATCCAGTTTTCTTCCACAATTCCAAAACATAATTCACCCACCTCTGTGAGAGTCGCAGAAAACAAAAACTGAAGGCATCGACCTGAAAGTAACGTCCAGTTCGTTGCTATCGTTGTCAGCAGCTATAAGAATTTGGTTATTTGGTTAACTAAGTCGATTTTCGAAAAAGCAGTTGTATCGTTTATCGTGGTGGTTGATTTGGAGTTCAGAAAATTGCCGGGGCTTCTGCATTTTCGTGATTTTCCGTACTGACTGTAATACCAGCACCAGTCGAGGTTATCTGTCTCTCGTGTTCTGGAGACAGATCGTTTTCGTGAACTCTTCCGAGAGGTTTATGATACTCTACGGTCATTATGAATATGAAGGTAATGTATAACAAAGTCCCGTAACGTCATTCTGTGTCGTTCGGGGCCTTTTTGACTTAAAAATCCTCGGCGTTAAAAGTTTTGGTGACCTCGATAATGCGGTCAGGAGATGTAGTCATCTCGTCTACAGCGTTGATCTGAAACGAGACAAGCACTGCCTGCATCTGCTGAGGAAGCTTGACAAGAAAAGCTGTCTAGACAGACTGTAGCAGTAAATAAATCCCCAAAATAAATAGCTCTGTAGGTTTTCGAAATTAGATGCTGACCACATTACTTTTAATGGAGTCATCTAGCTGAGGGTGCTCGATCGTGCATCCGCGCCATATCACGTGTGGGAACGCCTTGCTCGACAACCCCTGCAACCGCCAGTCACATTAGGTCAGACGATCCTCGATATAGTGATAGCCTATCAAATATATCTTCGAACCTCCTCGCTTCTGTCTCTTGATTTCACTTGGTGAGTACGATTCATATTAGGTGTTACTGGTTGAAGCGTTGCCGAACCTGTGGCATCTTCAAGACCATCGTCGAAAGTCCTTTGACTTAATTCTCTCTCTCATTGGTATGAACATGTCCGTTGCTGAAACACGTTGCAGGTCGATGTTATTGACTTGATCCAACCTCTGTTATTCGGTTGAACCGTTTTAGTCTCATAAGTTTCCGAAACATCACTATCAAACATACTAAGCGTGACGTACATGTTGAATTCACGCAATACTGTTTCTACTACTAAGAGAAATTGTGCGCATGGATCGTTCACGCCGCACTTGTAGATATCAGACTCTGAGTAACTGAACCAGGCTTCGATGTTGGGAGGTCAGAATGGCATTAATTGAAATGAGGGTGGTGTAAGATTCTTGACATTAAGTTACATAGAAGTCTGTTCCGTCATGATGAATATAAAGCATATGAATGAGCGAGAAGAAAAAATACCCGAAAATTCGTACAATATCACAATGTATAAAAATCAGAGTAAGGCGATGATACATAAAGTTCCAAAAATGAACAAACATGCAGTTTACAAATTGATGTGCCAGATCACATCATGCTCATCAGTGAAGATGCCACAAGTATTTGGCGTTTGACAACACTCTGACCGGTAACACCTATAATTGAATCGTGCCCACTCAATGAAATCAGAAGGTTCGATGACATATTTGATGGGTTATCAATACACCGAGAAGTGACTGATTTAAACTGGCTTGCGGTTGCAGGATAATTTGAGCACAGCGTTCCAAATCGTGATCTGGTTCGGATTCGGGACCGAGCGCCTTCAGCTAGGTCAGTCCACTAAAACTAATGTGGCCGTCATCAAATGTCAAAGACTTGCAAATCTATTAATTTTAGATCAAACACCATCTGAAATAAACGTGGATCTGAGCTCTTACACGACCAGGCTTACATATGCGATTCATTCACTTAAACTTTTCACAATCTAACCATAATCAATGGATATGTTCTTTCAGCCTGCCTTGCGGTTTGTTACGCTAGTTTTTACGTCGGTCGTGATTCATAACACAGACTCCTCGAAGTTACATTTGGAATACTCAACAAAGTTTTTACCGCAAACCTAAGCACTACTAGATTTTTAGGAATGGTGCCAAAAACGCAAAGAGTATAATTTTTAAGTGTCTTTACATGTTTATAATAAAAAACGAAAATCAGGATATTTTCAGCCAGTTCATGCGTATACACATTCCTTTTGTAAATAGCCAAAATACAACCTCTTGGCCTATGTAATCTTTTTCCTGTCATTTGATGTATAAACATATACATGCCAACATTCTTTTGCGCAGTTCACTTACTTAAGGTCAAACAAGTGTATTCGACACGCATTCAGATTTTCTTCAGTTTATTTCGCAAGACAGCTTTCATGTTTGAAAAAACGCCGAACGGAATATACTATTTGATAACAAGTTTTATGTAAACTACTACTCTTTAAAGTAGGAAAAGAATGATGTATATTACTGACAAGTTTATTGGATTTGGATGTCCTGTTGACCACGTCTTAGGGTCCCCACTATAAAATTAGAGGGGATGAGATGCAGTTGTAAAAATGTCCCCCAAACAAGACCTCAATATTATCATTGATCCCTAGCCGTAGGAGCTTGGTTAAACATTTGTACCAGATCACATTTTAATACGTTGTGTTGGGTATTTCTTATAACAATCAGTCAGTTTAGATTACGGAATTCTCGACATATCAATCACCTTCGTACTCTTTATTCCTGTCTCCTGGTTTGGCTGACTTTTGGACCCTCGAATAAAAAGTCCGTGCGACAACAACATTGTCAGGTACTTGTAGTTGTAAACGAATCCCCCAAATAAATAGTTCTGTGAGTCTTCGGCACTTGATGCTGACTGCGTAAGTTTTACTGAACTCAAGTAGGTGAAGGTGCTCGGGCACGCATCCGCACCAAATGTCGAGTGGGCACACTGTGCCACACGTACCTTGTAACAACTAGCCAGCTTAAACCAGACGCTTCTCGACAAACTGATAGCTTTCCAAATATAGGGCACCAGAACCCCTAAATCTTTTTCGACTCGGGATACTACTAGAGAGGAGTTTTCTAAGTTGTAACTGTAATCTGCGACGTGTCGCAGATGGACTACTTTACACTTTGAAGTGTTAAAAGTTAATTCCGTTGTCGTCTGCCCAACTTTGAAGTCGAGTCAGATCTTCCCCCCAATTTTCTGAGCTTATTGATATGATATATGTGGTTAAACCTATCAAAAGCTTTAGAGAAATCAAGGTAAGTGAAATCCACCTTCCACTTGTGATCAAGGATGCTTGTCCATCTGTCCACCGCAGTCAGCAGGTTCGTCATACAGCAGTAACCCTTCCTGAAGCCATGCTGCTGGGGTGAGAAGAAATTTAAGGACAGCAGATAGTTGTGTATACCATCGTATACCAGGGATTCCATGATCTTTGGAGGTATAGAGAGGAGAGCCATCGGTCAGTAACTTGAAGGTTCGCTGCGTCGACCTCCTCTGAAGATTGGTGTGGTATGAGCCAGCCTCCAAATATCCGGTGGTTTGCCTCGACTTATCGAGTGTGAGAACATCACGCTAAGCGGTGTTGCCAGGATTGAAGCTGCTTCCCTCAGTATAGCAGAATGGACCATATCTAGACCAGGAGAAGTGTCTGTTCTTAGGTGTTGCAGTTTTCGGAACACCAAGTCAGCGCTCAAGTTCACTTCGGAAAGTCCTGTGCAGTTGCAGATGATGCTGTCATCAGTATAGTTTATGTGGGTCGGTTGAAATGCCCGGGACTATTGCTCAGCCAGAAGGTTAACGGCATCACCGTCGTTATAGGTCAGGTCGTTAGGAACCTAGCAGTTGAGAAACTCCAATTTTGGCTTGACGAAGAGAGGCTGCGTGACGGAATAAGCTTTTCGGGTTGGAAATAAATTTATCCATAAGCTTTAACTGGTACTGAAGCCTGTCTTCTCTTATCGCCTTCGTGCATATGTTCCTTATATGTTTGTATTGCCTGTACGAGCTGTTAATGTCAGTTCGTTTGTATTCTACCCAACAGTGCCTTTTACGGCTTAACAAACGAAGAGTGCGGTTTTTGATGATTGTAGGTTGCTTGTGGCTTTTGGGGACCATTTGAGGAACTGACTGTTTTGTAGCACATAAGAGCGTGTACTGTAAGAAGTCCCAATGAGCATTCACATCAAGTTGAGGGTGAACATACCGATGCACCTGTTGTAGATAGTTCCGTAGAGCTGACACATTCAACCGTTTGAAATTCCAGCGCCTGTTGTTGTTGAGATATCTTAGCTCAGTTTCGCTGACAAAACTGAAGGCTATGACGGCCTGATCACTTTTCTCCAGGGGAGCCAGAATTGAGAGGTTGTCAACTAGAAATTCTTCGTTTTTAAAAACAGTCCCATGAATTTAAGCTTATAGAACCGGTTGGCGAGTTATGATAACTAGAAGTATTCAAATTGATGTACTAACTATGAATTCCTGAAATAATAAAATTTACAGCAATTAGAACAAGATAAGCACAAACGAACATATTGTATTTAAAACTCGTTATCAGATGTCCTTCAAATACAGATAGTTCGTACAAATACCATACTAACTCACTTTTCATAGATGATGATGAAGACCTTGAAACGTATCATGAACACCGAGAAGCAAGAAAAGTAATCATATAAGTATTGGAAATTGAGAATGAAATTGACGCTACAATGGCCTTGCAGTATATACGATGTTCTCCTTTCTCTAGAACATTAACGCGTTATGCTCTTTTCCAATGTCGCTTTATAAAAAATCCTAGTCTAAAGTGCTTTCATACGGGCCTTCAGAATTACATGCCCCTCATACCCATGGTATTAGACAAAACTACAAATGTTGAACGATATTATGACATATATTCCCGTTTATTGAAGGACCGAATTATATGTCTTATGGGCGCAGTCACCGATGAAATAGCTGGGTCGGTTATTGCACAACTCCTGTTCTTACAATCAGAGGACAAAAAAATTCCTATACACTTATATATTAACAGTCCAGGTAAAGCGGTTTTGTTGCCACATTGTCTTCAGGAGGCGTTGTTACTGCAGGTCTAGCAATTTACGACACTATGCAGTTTATTAGACCACCAGTTGCTACTTTGTGCATAGGTCAGGCTAGTAGTATGGGTTCTTTGTTGCTAGCAGCTGGTTCACCTGGTTGTCGATTTGCTCTTCCTCATTCTCGTATAATGGTCCACCAACCATCTGGCTCTGCTCATGGTGAGCTTATTTAAAATATTAACTCCTCTCAGGTCAAGCATCGGATATTAAAATTCAAGCAGAGGAGATAATTAGGACGCGTAGTGTTATAAACACTATATACGAACGACACACAAAACAGTCTCAGGAAGTAAGCTATGCCGGCAAATGTTTCTGTGTAATTTCCCTAAAATTCGTCTGATTTCAAGTTTCAGGATTGTTTGTCAGAAATTTCACTAAACAATTACATAGACCTATAATACTGTTAGTTGTCCAAGGATGATATCAGAAGTGGCCTTATTATTCTAGGCTAGCCATCAGTCGTAATTTACCAATATGGCTGATAAGTATTATTTCTAAAGGTTAAAATTTCTTTGTCTAAAGACTGGACTCATATAGGGAAACTTATCTTTAAGATTAGGTTTCACTGTTAGCAAAATCTATCTGTGACATTCTCGATTATTGGTCGAATCGTCGCATCAGTGTACTTGTGACTGATATAAATGTGGAAGTTGGTTCTTTGTCTGTACTTTGGGTCAATATCATAGGAGCTGGTTGACGTCGCATCACGGTTTTGCGCAACCTGTCACTGTTAGGAGTGGATAAGTAATAGTGACTAAACTATTTAGCCATAACTTAATTTCCGTTTCTTTGTTATTCACAAGCTATTAAAAGCTTCGTCACAGACTCATTTTGTAGTGATGATGTTTAAACTTGTTTTGAAGCCATATCAACCAATCTGAAACGTATCTGAGCCTAAATGAGGGGATGAATCTTTGGATGAATATATCTATGATTAGCATGTCTTAATTCCTTTTTATATCCATCCATCCTAATTCTTTTAGCTAGTAAGCACTATAAGTCTGAGAATATTCCGGATAACGTCTTAAATGTTAGCAGCTGATAACACTGCATATGTTATCGCTTTTTGTTTGGCGAGAGATGCCTTTTCTGTGAAGTACTTAGCCATACTAATGTTTATTCACCTCGTTTGCCAGGTGCAGATTCGTACACTTGGCTTAAAGTCACACTATGTGTTCAAACTAGTGATGTTACCTGGTTGCCTAATTTGAAGTAGGTGTGGTCGTATTCAGACCTACGACCCAGGGGCTAAAGATCAAACTCTAACTTCTGAGCCTTCTCTCCATACATATATGTAAAGAAAAACATTAGTTTACTCTGATACTGCTCCGCATTCTGTCGGTACGGAACCAAACGATTCACTTAACGACCAATATCTTTCATCTTTTGTTTAGGATTCCTCGTAGGTTTGTCAGTGATCAAATCTCAACCGTGCAGTTATATTTTGTAGTTTTGTACGTTTTATAATGATTCTACAGACAAAGCTATTGAACATATTAATTTTTAACTTATAAAATCTGTGCTACCGACAGATGTATGTTACATTTTACTTATGATGCCGATTAGAAATTATTATTATTATGGAAGTTTGCAGTCAAACCGTCTTAATAAATCACATGAGTTTTGTGGTCTTTGATTATATGGTCGTTGATAACTACCGATTTGGACCGTGTTTGTACTCATTTCCATTCAGTCTCATCTAAAACTATGAACATAGAGTTAAGTAGCGACCCAGTCAAACATAAGTATTAAAAACAAAACTACCTGAATAGTCGGACTCTTCTGTTGACAAATATTAGTAGTTTGTTGTCATACCTAAATTTTATAGAATGAGAAGGAAATATAATTTGGAATTTGCATAGAAGTAGGAACACTATCAATATCGGAAAACCGAAAAAAATAGTGACAGGAAACAAAAGTTAGGAGTTCAGGATAAGTGTTCAACTCAACACTATTGCTTGTTGCTTCACTTTATTTTAAGGCGCCAATGTATCCTATTTTATTACACCTAATGTAAAAGTCTGCGGTTTCTGAAAGTACTCGTGAGAATAATCAACTACTTGCCAAACTAGTTTAATACTTTGGCTTGCCAACTTCAAATTTTTCACCCAGTTCCTATTCTTCCAAGTGCTAGTTACAAGGTGGTGAGTAGATTAAGATTCGCATCACATGAATTTTTATCTAACTTTCCAGTATAAGGAAGCTAAACAATGTACACAACCTTTAATAGATGTATATTGGATGAACGCCAAATAAAAAACCACCTGTCTCGAAAGTTAAGTTTTGTTTTCGAACCTTGTCCACAGTCGACGTGTAAAAATGTTAGTTCGATAAATGTTAGTTTAGTATGAAACAAGTTAACCAATCTCTTTCCGTTGGCTTATGTTGCAAGTTGTTTACTGCCTATTTAAGATTGTTTCTTATGTTGCGTTGTTTAATGTGTTTGAATAAGATTCTTTCTAATAACACTAAAGACTAAGTAATTGCAAACATGCTTTTCGTAATACATACAAATATAGGTATTTTTAATATTTGGTTTTTATTGTATGAAATAAATACGGTACTTGGTACCTGCTTCATTTCTCACATTTGTTTTTTTTACCACAGGTAATAGAAAAGTGGATGGACCGTGATTACTTCATGACCGCAGAAGAAGCAGTTTTATATGGAATAGTCGATAGGGTTTTACATAAAGCTCCTGCTGAAAAAGTGGATGAAAATGTGGATTCTAAATCTCCGCATTAATTTTGAATGTAGTGGCTTCAGTCGTAGAGAAAACATTTCCCTTAACTGGTATTTTGTGTATAACACACATGACCCACGTGATGTAAACTGAATAATTCTTTCCAAGCATATATTGTATTATCTAAATATATGCTTATATTTATACTCGTAATTGTGCTTTTTCGCATGTAGCTTGATATTTTAGCGGCATGTGTTATGTGACTGCTGATTTCATGCTTTTGTATACCATTATGTGGTGGTTGGATAAATTTGCTTTTGAGGTCATTTTTGGTGCACTTTGTCATCGCTACGACATGTTTTGGTTTTATTGACGGGATTATTCACTCTACAGATATATAGCTAATATCGTATATTCCTAAATCCTACAAATTGTTCAGAGAATTGCACACTTGAAATGTACTCTTGTTATTACCATATTGTACACAGTTCACTCAGTAAACTGTCGGTTACGGACTATCACGTTCAGAACGTGTCCAAAGGGCGGTCAGGACTCTTCATTATTTGCTATTTTAGTTTTATCTTAGCCTTCGATAAGAGTCTGAAGATCTATGCTATTATTGCACTTTGGGTCTAGCTAATTACTAAAAGTGAACTATCAAAAGCGGTCCTCCAATCAGTGTGGTATCATATTCTCTCTTAACCTCGGTAGTGCTAAATACGATTGTTTCCAAGTCAATCTGTTTTGTAAATAGAAATAGCTCTACACTTTTTTCATCTTCCTTGGTGTCTGTCGCTTGCCTTGGGCATTTTAAAATGCTCCAAGTATTCTGCTTTCGCAACCATACCAAATGAACCTTTATGGATCCCTTATTGCAAACGAATTTTGAACGACCTGTTTTTCTTAAACCCTTACCAAAGGTTAACAACTGTTGCCTTCAGATATAACAAATGGTGTGGATTGCTATAATAATTGTCTTACTAATTCTTATGTATCGTGTCTTATAAAAACAGGCATCGGGGCTATTTTTCTTTATTTGTTCCAGGAGGAACGGCAGTCTACCGATTTTTTAACTACTCTCTAATTATGATATCATCTACCATTTTCATTTCAGTATGATATTCCGAAAATGTTGTCAAGGACAATTGATAAGCTAGTGGAGCTCGCGATTTCTTTGGGACTTCCTAGGACTATTCAGTCAAACAGTACACAATTAGCTGTTATACTGCAGTTCCCAAATGTGAAAGTGCAATCATTTCTGTTTGCTTATAAAGTCATAAGTGTTTATTGAGTTATACGAAGTCACCAAACCGCGTGAAAGTTAAATGAACATCTTAAACCGTACTTCATATGTTTGTCTGAAATATGAAATTTGCTCGTTTTCTAACATAATACAGTCTAGGAAACTAGTGTTTCTTATCCAACCTAATATAGAGTTTGGGGTTTGGGTGATTTGACTCGTTTAAGTGAACGTGGTTTATGAAAGACATACTTTTGTAGGAATTCGGGGAGATTGTGCGAGCGTCAGTATATTAAACGCTTAACCATCACAACGAAAGAAATGAAATGTAAGAGGATTGGTAGTATCTTGACGAAGTTCCTGATGAGGCAAATACCCTAGTACTGTCATGATAAAAACGTCCGAGGAATAGCTTCTAGACTCAGACACTTCCCTGTAGAAAGTGTTAGGTTTTAGGGACTTCCTTTAACTCACTTCAAGGTTAATTTTATCTGATTAATCCATCCCTGGTTGTGAAAGGCAAAATACTTGAAAACGTTATATGCTAAGATGGGAAAATATATGCTTATCATCACGTTTCACATATCCTCATTAGGACACGATTAACACTATTTTTCATCGGGTCACGAAAGTATAAGGGTTATTTTCTGCTTTGAAGGGTTGTGTCTAAATAGAGCTACATGCGTCTATTATCGTCAACGATAAATATAAGTTTCAAGATAAAATTATCTATTATGTAAATACAACAGGTGGAATGCTTCCAGGTTTTAGTCGTAAGTTGAGGTTTTTGTTTTCGTTCGTTTGTTTTCAATAGTTTGATGGTAATGTCCAGCATACATTATGCGGTGATATTATTCCCTTCTTCACTACTCTTCACTTATGTACATCTCTAAGTTTAGTTGTGAATAAGTGGTATTAACACTGATTTGATAACCATTGGTTGGAAATATTATAGAAACTGATTTGAACAGATAGATTGAATCTACATCTTTTAAATCTTGCATACAATGTTCCATATTTATTTGATTTGTGTTGTCTTACTGTTCGTCTGAATAACATATGCATGTCCAGGATGAAATGACTTTGTTCTTTTTTAAGGTACATAGTATGATTAAGAAGCTATATGGTACCCATGATTATTATGACAATATATGAGTCTTACGATTATTTGACTTTCGAAAACTACAGTTGTTATCGTTTCTGCTTAGTTGACAACTTGCTCGTTTTGTGATATTTTTGTTGGGGGTGCTCTTAGATCATAACTGTTTCTGGTCCTTTTACATAGAAATGGCTTACACACAAATATGATGTATGAACTAGAATACTTCTGTGGGACTCTGATTTGGTATTTTACAAGTTTTCTAGACTGTGATCATTCTTTTGTCTAGATTAAATAAGTAATTCTAAACACATTAAATTACTCTAATCTGAATTTTAAATCAATTTCATTATATTTGTGTTAGTTTTTATCAAGAATTTTCATGAATTCAAGTATCTGTATACTAATACTTTCCTTAGTTGATTGTTTCAAGTCTTTTTATCTACTTCACACATACTACTTTGGTTATCCTTATTGTTTATTTAACTATGAAACTTATGCATGAATTAATCTAATGGAAATACTATACATTTATTCATTATACTTAAACTATTAACTCACTATTTAAATTATACTTTTTATTTATTATATTTATTTTAACACATAGGTATTGGTACAAGGAGGTACCAAATACATATGCGCCACACGAATCTCAATTGATTTGTGTGAGAGCTGTGATACTGCCCGGGTGCCCAAACCGAGGCAGGTGGTTCTCTTAGGGGGCCACACTCCGAGCCTTCGACCCAGAGGTCTGGTCCACAAGGCAGTGGAGCATCGTAAGGAGATGCAGTCCCATGGTAGCCGGTGACCAACGATTGGTTCATACGTCATTTGTTCCCGTAGGATACTGGAGCCCATGTGCACCATTGATTTGGGATCCGGTTAAAGCGCCGGACATTCGCTTTTCGTCCTCTCATTTTCGTAAACAACACCCCCGCCACGAGAAGGCAATGAGTATGACTTTCCTGGTAGAGGCTGTATACGCGTGGCCGTGTGAGAGCATTTCGAGAGAAAGGGTGGGCCCACCCCACTCTCGGCCATATCAGGGCATTTGGGGACATATTAAACTTAATCAATTTGTTATTATATGAACTTTGTGTATAGGAGTATTTCAATATTATATCTATTGAAAAACCCATTGTATGTTGGATGTTGACTAAGAGTGCAATTCAGAACGTGTATTTAGTGCTTATAATATATATGTGGGAACGGTTTTATCATGATGCAGGTTTCTGCATCAACACTCCCATAGTCTTCGTGAAACCAAATTAGAGAGTTTAAGTTCTCACGGCGAAAGTAATACTATTAAGTAGGATTCTAGTGAACCAATACAGAATTACATTTTTCTCATTCATTAAAAATAGTTGGTGACCAACATTGTTCGACGAGGGATCTCTTTGATGTTCATTTAATTAGTTGTTACTTAACCTGATTTCCTTGCACACTTCTTATAAACAATCCTGCAGCCACAATCAGGCAACCTTCAAAGCCCTGGGACTCCCAGACGTGGTGTAGGTCCAGGAGCTTCAAATTTTGGGGGTGGGATCTATGGTCCAAATGTTGGCGGCGGAGCTGATTCACGAGAGTCTGGTTTCTTAGCTAAATTAAACACTCTGTCACGTTCACGAAGGCGGAAACAAGAAGCTGAAGAGTTGGCAGCTGAAGCGCGGCAGGCTATGGAGGACCCGTTACTTCCAGCTCCACTCGACCTCGGTACTGATGGTTATCAGCTGGCTGAGGGTGAAGAACGCTCTATGATAGAACCTCAGTCAAAAGTTAGTCATATCATATATGAATGCGGAAATTTATTTTTATTTGTATATTATTTATCACTTTTCATTTTGCTAATTTATTTCCCGTTTGAAATACGGTATGCTGAAAAAAATGACGTTAGCAGAGCAAGTTTGGTGTTTAAAATTTAGTTTCGATTGTTTATAAATACTTGTGCCTTTTTGATGATGGTTGTTGTAGTTCTCCAAGTTTCAGCTCCGTACAATGGAACCGATTGTCTTAATGTTCGTATTGAAGATTCTAATTTTGATATTGGTTGAGAGTTGTTTTGAGTTTCATATGTTCTTCAACTGTAGGAATGCTATTCTTGCTTTGCCAATCCTCTCTTTTATATCGGCGCCAGATCCTCCATGTTTGCATCAATGTTATTAATAGCTGAACTTAACAAGAAATTGATGGCTTCTGTCTGCAGGTTACTTTTTATCACGAATCGATATCAGTTGAAAGGGTGTTTTTTACTTCTCCTAGACTCTTCAACAGTGCGGAACCATAAATTAAAACAGGATTGAACTATGTAGGTTCAGTAGGTGTTTTTGTCAATGTTTGACTTGACAATTTCGAATAAACTGAACATTGAGTAGATTGTTGTAAATAAAAATAAAGTATTTGTAATATCCCAATGAGTAGAAAAATTAATTTTCTAAGTTTTCTGACGTTTCGTGACTCAGTATAAGCCACTTCTTTAGAGAATAAATAGTCAAATTAGATTAGCCCGTTTGGATAGTACACAGGGACAGCCAGAATATCAGGTGCAATCAATCAAAAACAGGTCTGACCAAGTTTGGACCCACTGGGATATTACAAATATATTATTTTTATTTATATGTAGGTTCAGGTTTTGTGGAATGTACTGTCTTTAGACCACTGAATTGAAATTCAGTGTTTCGCATTTTTAATTTCTATCTATTCTTGATGTAGTGCTGTAACCATCCTTTGATTGGTTTCCATATAGCTTTGAGATACTTAGTATACATGTGTGTGTGACTCTTGAAAAGAGAACAAGAGAAAAGAAGCATTGTGACTCAGTGGTACGAATATTGAGTGTATTTACACTTTAATAATAAAAGCAATCAATAATAATTAGCAATTACATGTATAAAATTAAGACAGTTTGGTGATCAAACTAGAAGTTGGTAGCATGTGATTTTGAATTCTTTACAGTACAGCACTTTTATTCATGCTTTGTATATACATCTGCTGGAGAGTATGAACTAGATAAAAACTATTATGGTTCAGTGCAAGGAAGGAGATAAAATTGATGCATAAAGATTTATTATTCACGTAAATTGATATCTGAATATAATAATTTCCACTTATTTAAATTGACTAATAATCAGATTTTGAATAAATTGAAGTAAGTAGCAGTTGATGTTAATTAATCATGCATGAATAAAATAAAATTTACAGTACTATAAAATTACAGCCAACGAATACAATTAGTTTATTGAGTTATTTCCCCACCATTGCTGATACCTTGACGTAGTGGTCGGGCTTGCCCAATGAACCAATTGTATTTTTATTTATTTTATTTTATTTGAACATATAAATATTGGTACAGGGGGGCACCAAATATATATGCACCACACAAAACAGTGAGAATTTAAAGAGAAGGGAAAAAAGGTAAGGAATGTAGGGAATTATAAAAAGAAGAACAATGATGGTGGAAACGAAAAGGTACAATCAGAGGAAATCTTGCAGTTAAGGAAGAAGCAAACACTTTTTATGAAAAAGGTAAAAGAAGGTTTCAGCAGGATCGCCACTGGCTTCTATTCTGAGCCATATCTGATAACGTCTCTAGCCACTGTGTTACACCATCTCTCGGACCCCAGCCAGGGAGTCGTGAAGGACCAACAGAAGCTGGCCCTTTGCAGCTTTCTTTCATACCACGACACCATGTCATATACTGACCACCTCTCCGCTTTTTCCAACCAGTCCCAGAGTCGGCAAATAATGCACGACGTGGAATTCTCTGGGACGACATTCGTAGAACATGTCCAAGCCACCGAAGTCGGTGTTTCAAGATGGTGACACCAATGGAATTATCGTCTCTGTGCCCGAACACACGATGCCGAACCTCTGCATTACTAACATGGTGTTGCCACTGGATGTTAGCAATCCTTCGGAGACAGCGATGATCGAACACAGAGAGCCGTCTATCATCCTCAGCTCGGAGAGGCCAGGTTTCACAAGCATAGAGCAAAACTGCTCTCACCGACGCGTTGTAGATCCGACCTTTTACAGCCAGGCTAACATCACGAAGGCGCCAAAGATGGCCCAGATTGGCATAAGCCGCTCTGGCTTTCACTATACGTGCATTGATCTCATCACTCACAGCACCACCAGCACTTATGCAGCTACCTAGATACACGAACTTCTCGACTACTTCAATCTGCTCACCATCCAGAGTGAGTACAGGATTAGAATCCTGCCAGTCTTGTAGAAGAACTTTGCACTTCGAAGGTGCAAAGCACATACCATACCTACGGACACTGATTGCCAACTGATTAAGTGCGGATTGCATGGCTTGGGCATTATCGCACAGTAAGACAATATCATCCGCATACTCAAGGTCGAGAAGTCTTTCTCCAGGTAATAGATCCACACCACCATTACTTACATCCATCAGAGCTGTTTCCAGAATGTCATCGATGGCAAAGTTGAAGAGGAATGGTGAGATTGGGCAACCCTGTCTAACCCCACTGCTCGAATGGAATAGTGGAGAAAGGTGGTTGTATGCCCTCACTCTGCCTGAGGTGTTTGTATATAGGGCTTTTAGGATGTTAATAAACTTCTCAGGCACACCCTTCTTCAATAGACAATCCTAGAGAACAGTCCTGTCCAACGAATCGAAGGCAGCCCTGATGTCAAGAAACACTACGATTGTTGGCCTTCGATAAGTATGGCGGTGTTCTAACATTTGGCGGAGGGTGAAGATATGATCAATACATCCTCGACCAGAACGAAACCCAGCCTGCTCCTCGTGTGGTGTGTGCTACTTATGTGGACATAAGTAGTATATGATGTTAGTCGTGAACAGAATGTCTGGCAGAAGAGAGACGAGAAGATCGAACAATGAAGAATGAAAACAGAATGCAATTTGTATGAAAATGCAAGAAAAGTAAAGTAAGATTGGCGCAGACCAGAGCATGATCAGATTCCAGATAGGTACTCCAAAAGGAGTGGCAGTCTTGTACACAACCACGCCAGCGGTAGCTGATCGCGATGTGATCATTCTGAGTCCAGGCTTGAGATGCAGAAGGAGGATGCCAGGTGGCATATGGGCGATGACTGTGCCGAAAGTTAGTGCTATCCAGAAACAGGTTGTGGTCTGTGCATATTTGAAATAGACGTTCCCCGTTATCTGTCCTGCGACCAACAAGTCCCCATCAGCCACCTAAACGACTCTTTTCTGTGCCTGGGCGCCCGACCTGAGCATTCAAGTCTCCGGCTAGTATTACAATATCTTTCGAACGCACTTTCCGGAGAAGAACAGACAACTGGTGGCAGAATCCATCCTTGATTGCATCCGGGCTGCATAGGCGGAGATGACGAAAAGACATCGTTTCTCACGCCTATTTCTTCTCACTTTGATGGAACTTTCTAATCTAACAGCACATAACCGACTGTTAATGGGGATCCAGTCGATTAGTGCTGCCTCAGCTCTAGCGCTTAGTGCGACACCAACGCCAGTAAGACCAGACGAAGATGCCACACGGTCCCCGGATAAACGTACGTAAAACAAGCTTTTTGAAGCGAAAGATGAAGATTGAATTTGTAGTACTTCACCAGAGTCTCGGATAGACAATAAACGTCGATATTAAGACTTTCTAAAGACATAGCCATCCCCATCTATTGTCCGACTTGCATAAGTGTGCGAACGTTAAAGGCAGTCAGTTTGAATGGTGCGCGTGGTTCCAGAAAAACTGCCTCAGTACTCGTATTCGATGGTAACATACAATTTTTAACCAGGCAGCGACTTGAGAACGTTTAGATATAGCCGAATGTCCACCATAGGCGAGCTGCTGTATAAGTCGAAAAATAAGGATAGACAGAGTGGGAATAAAAGAGAGTGAATAAATGACATGGTAAATAATAATAATAATAATAATAATAATAATAATAATAATAATAATAATAATAATATGAATTGTTTGACAGCAAATCGCGGCGAGAATAGAGTTTTCAGTGAATATCATCATTTTCATTATCATTATATTTGTGTGTGGGCTGAGATACTGCCCGGGTGCCCAGACCAAAGCAGATGGTTTCCTTAGGGGGCCACACCCCGAGCCTTCGACCTAAAGGTCTAACCCACAAGGCAGTGGAGCATCGTGAGGAGATTCAGTCCCATGGAAGCCGGTGACCAAGAAATTGGTTCATACGCCATTTGTTCCCGTAGGATACTGGAGCCCATGTGCACCATTGATTTGGGATCCGGTTAAAGCGCCGGACATTCGCTTTTCGTCCTCTCATTTTCGTAAACAACACCCCCGCCACGAGAAGGCAATGAGTATGACTTTCCTGGTAGAGGCTGTATACGCGTGGCCGTGTGAGAGTATTTCGAGAGGGAGGGCGAATTCACCCCACTTTCGGCCATACAAGGGCATTTGGGGGCGATGAACCAATTGAAGAGATACACCTTCCGTTTATCTGGTGACCCGATGGCTAGTTCTCGTGAATTGGCGTGTGTAGGCATGGCACTGAGTACGAGGGCAAAACAAACACTTATAATGGATTTCCGTTAACAGTCGCATATGTGTTGTTCGGCTAAACGGTTCCGTAAGAACTTGGAAGGATAGGAATACACGTCGTTGCTTTTTCGTCATTTCTGCCTACGCTCCCACTGACTGCAGCCCGGATAAAGTGAAAGATGACTTTTACAGAAAGCTTTCTGAACTTCTTCATTAAGCTAAACACCCAGACATAGTACTCGTAGCAGGTGACTTTAATGCCCAAGTAGGTAGCTTAAACCAAGCAAAAAGACATTTAGGTGGGTATTTCAGTATTCCGTCTCAGCGAACAGATAATCGCGACCGTCCTTTGCAACTGTGTTCAGACAATCGCTTATTTTTAGCAAGCACTAATTTTAAGCATCAGGAGAGACATCGTCTAACATGGCGATCCCCTGGACCAAACCAACAATGGACTCATATACAAGCACGCATTTACTTGACCCTCATTGGACGCAGAAAAGCCACATTAAGAAGACCTGTCAGAGTTGAACTCAGTGACGAAGAAGCCAAAAGTAGGTTCTAGGAACAACTGAGGTCATACTTAGTCAGTTCTGAAAACGAGGCTTACCCAGATATTGCTTAGAAAGATATACAAACAGCTGTGGAAGCAGCAGCGACATCTATTAGCGATTTAAACCAAAGGGTAACGAAAAACCAGTGGATTTTTATTAAGTCTATTGCACTGACAGATTTTCGTAAACTCATCTTATCTGGCCCCGAACACGATAACGAGCGAAAACAAATCAGATCTAGGTTAACCAAAAGTCTAAAGAACGGTCGTAAGCAGTGGTGGGCTAGTAGGCCGACTTATTGACTTAGAATACACAGATGACATGGTCGTGTTTGGTTAAGACGCTTATAAAGTCTTTTGGTAGCACTGAGCAACAATGCCAGGATGTTTGGAATGCGTTTCTCCCCTTCCAAACGCAAGTTGTTGCTTCAGGACTGGTCTGCGTCAACACCTGAGTTAAGGATATGGAGTGAAGTAGTCGAACGCGTCGACAAATATCTTGGAAGTCTGATCAACCCTAATGGATTGGTGTCTAACGAAATCTCTGCACGGATTCAGAAAGCTCTTTTGGCTTTTGTTAACTTACGTCACCTATGGCGAAGGCGAGATATTGTCTATCAATTAAGGGATGAGTATACTGTGCGGCAGTTCGTTCTGTTCTACTTTACAGCTGCGAAACGTGGCCATTAGGAGTAGAAGACACTCGTAAGCTACTAGTGTTCGACCTTAGATGCCTTAGAAATATTGCGGGTATCTGCTGGGATCACCGGGTAAGTAATAGTGAGGTTAGACGCAGGGTATTAGGGAATGATGGTAAATCAGTTGATGAGGTTATGAATCTTCATCGACTGAGATGGTTGGGCCACGTGTTGCGTATGCCTGAACACCGATTACCACGACGTGCGATGCTGACTAGTGTAGGGGATGGTTGGAAGAAAGTTAGAGGCGGCCAAACCAAAACGTGGCATCAGTGCTTGAAGTCATTAACTTCTGGTCTGAGCCATATTGGTAGATGCAAACTACTTGGTTGTGGTCCCCATGACTATCGTATCCAATGGTTGGAGACTCTTGGTGACATGGCCCAGAATCGATCACAATGGTGTAGGTGTATACACTTTGTCTTCCCTCACACTGTGAGATTGAAATTACTATATACCTTTCTTTCTACAAACTAATTATTTCTTCTTGTATTATATCTTTATATACAATCTTTCGTTTATATATTACCATCATTGAAGTAACTACTATGAATTTGGTGTTCATGTTGTTGTGCTAACGAGGTGTGTCAACTTGGACCGATGCATATATGTGTCTGGTCCTACGTTGTGGCTGACGTATTGACTCTTGAGTTATATTATTCCTTTCTAACAGAGATACTGATCATAGAAAATTTTTGTTTCCATTACCTTTTAATTTTATTCAAATATATGTATTCTGTTTTGGTGGGTTGACGAAAACAAAGAAAACAATTACAGACAGAACCTACTGTAATACTATACAATTGGCTTCTTAACAATTTATTGATTGGGATTTGCATATGCATCTACATAGATCCTTTTTTCTTTTAAAAAATTCTTCTATTAGGAACATCCATTAGTTCATGAATTATCATGCTCACTTATTGAATGGATTAATACTGAACTTGTAGACGACAGAATTTTAGTACGTGATCTAGAAGCAGATTTATATGATGGACAAGTATTGCAAAAACTAATTGAGAAATTATTAAATATTAAAATTAATCATCCAGAAGTAGCTCAGACTGAAATAGGTCAAAAACAACGTTTAAAAGTAAGTCATATTCTTTTTCTACCAAAAATGATTTGTCATTTTTAGACATATTTTCCTTGTTGAATGTTATTTTAGTTGTCACTGTAACATGGTTTACCGACAATTAATTAGCTATTATCATCTAACACCAAGGTTTGCTCAAATTTCAATTATAGGAATAATAAGTTGGTAGACTTGTGTCAATCCTTGTAATATAAATAAGGTGTTTTTCGGTAAACGATCTTGCAAAATGTAGAAACGAAATAAAATGTGTGGGAACCATTCAATTTGCAGTGTGTTTATACTCTCAATTAAGCTGCTAATATACAGATAATTAAGAGTCATCAAACAAACCTAATAAATATTAGGATAATTGAAAGCGGAAAACTGGATTTAAACCCAATGTAAAATCGAAATCACGAACTGACCCAATTTAGACCACCGTTGGAAGTCTGGAAGCACTGGATTGCCGTTTCCTCCTAGTATACAACTCAGAAGTGTGCATCTACCCAAGACAATGGAAGATGGTCCATGATCCCTCACTCAGAAATCGAATTCAGGACCTTCGGTTTCTCGCGCAAACGCCTAACTTGTAGACCACTTAGTCGGTAATGAACGGTGGTAATGTCTAACCTTAATCAATCTACGAGGTTGCATAAAACCATCTTCCATTGTCTTCAGTGACCAACTACCTCACACCCAATATGATAAAAATTTATTATTGTGGACTTTTATTTTTACTACTATGATCTCATAAACTGCTTATCGACTGAATTTGAACTGATAAGGTTGTAAGTTTCGTAAATTACGTCAACAGGAATGTGAAATGTACTAACCAGATCATTATTTTTGTGAATATTCCAGGCTTTAACTTTATTTATACCTTGTATCAGGTAACCTACTTTGCTTCTATTACGTCACTATAGTTTGGTGAATTAGTTGGGATAAGTCAAGAACTACTTCCGAGTTTTTATTTGTAGTGAAATAACATGAAGGGTTGTTATCTAGGTTTATGTAAAAATTGCAATACAAATGAAAATGCTTTTTCAGTGTTCTAAACGTTCAAAGAAAACAATCTTTTGGTCATAACATAGTGGAAAAAGGACTGCGTTGAAGATTTTAAATGCCTATTTCTTTTTATTTAAACTGCATTTAATAATAAATGAATCAGTGAGATTTTGCTTTAATCTGGTTTGGTTTTCCGTGGTAATCTCAAACAGATTACTTTATTAATGATACACTGAATAATTGATCAATTCATGAAGTAGCAATGCTAAAATCGATAAGTATTATGACGACTGATTTTCTCATATTATTGTCTTAAAAAAACTCTTCGGGGTATTCAGCAATTTAAATTTTTCAAAGAATGTTTTATTTTCTATAAAACTATATGTTGCTGTGTGAAGAATTCAAAGAGTAATCTTTAGTGTGAATATTTTCGCACTCGAAATAATTAAAGTTGTGTAGAAATAATTCCAAGATGATAAGATTATGAAAAAAAAAAAACTTAAAACAGGTTTCATTACTTTTATTGCAAAATATTTTTGATTTATATAAACTCTTCAGTTACTGACTGAAAAACGACTTCGAAATAACACAACTATTTTAAGAATTATTCAAGATCATCCTTATAGTTACAGTTATACTGGTAGATTTATATAAGTTTACTAAAAGTAGTTGTGTAGATGAATGCAATCATAATTATTTATAATTTTTCAATATCTTTTCATTTATATTTATTAGATTGTAATTGATGAAATTAATGGTGCTTTAGGCATATCACCTGTTCGTGCTGCCCAACTATGGCCTGTTTCTGCTGTGTATAATCGGGATTTAGTGGCTATACTACGTTTATTGGTGGCATTAGTTCATAAATTTTCTCCAACCATAATTCTACCACGTAAAGTTCAACTTACTGTTTTAATAGTTCGGAAAATCAATGGTATCTTACAACATAGACGTCAAATTGAACCAGTTACTGATGTTGGAGATGAACAAGGTATATATATATATATATATATATATATATATATATATATATATATATATATATATATATATATATATATATATCGTCAAATTTTGATAAATGATTTGTTTTATTCAAATAATATTTTAATGTATGAATGTTTGTCTAAAATACCATATATGTGAAAGGTTGGTTTGAGAATTACTATTAACCTAATACTAAGAAATAACTCTTTATAATGAATTTGGTAAGGATATATATTCGGGTACTGGCAAAAGATGTTGATATTTACTTTTCTTTTTCTAAAATTTTTTTTCTAAACATTAAAATGTATTCAGGTCTTTCAGTTTGGATTGTTGTTCAATTCGCCGTTTATATATGAATGAAATTACATGTGTTTTTAACAAAGTAGAGTAAGGTATTTCATTACAATGTTTTGAAAATAGACTCATGGATCGCATGTTATTTAATTATTTTGTTTGTTAAATGTAAGTAGTTTTCAATCCTTCATTCATTTATATACTTCTTAACCTGGATTTGTCTAGCATGTGTACTAATTATGGCCTTTATTCAGTGGTAGAGATAGATAGATAGATAGAGCGATAGACAGAGTAACTCAATTTTATATATGCATGTTTCTAGTTCTTAACGTATTGTTTTCCGAAGATATTATTCAATAGAATTATCAGGTATGTGTTTCTTCATGAGACTTAATGATACAAGTTTGAAACGAGATAAGAAACAATAAATGAAAACAACATATTTAAAATGACAGTTAAGATTAATTAGTGTATATATATATATATATATATATATATATATGTTGAATATGAAGATATGTAAAGAAGGAGATTGAAGTGATAAATGATAAAAAAAAGGGAATAGTAATAAATCAAGGCACTAAAGTGATATAAATTCAAGTTAGCTTTATGAGTAAATGTCGGTGGAATCTTTTCATTCAAGTTACAAAATACAATAAAGAGATGAGGTAATTAACAGTTTCACGCAACATTTCCCATTTATAAGCTTGAATGAAGTAAGTTATTTGTTCTTTCTTTATTTAATTGACAAAGATCTAAATAATGTAACTATCTTACGATGGTAAAGTTCATGGTGAAGTCGCTTGATGTGGGAGTGGCCTATGAGAAACGGAGTGAAAGTGGTATTCGTTGCTTATGAATTATTTTAAATGCTTTTGTTATGTCCACATTGTGTCCGCTATTCATCTAGTGGTTGCACTTTTAAATATTTTACTTTTTTTTCATACATAACTTTCGGGGAATATGTTCGTAAAATCTCATAGATCCACTTCCTTCAGTCCTTCTTATAATTTTCTTGTACTTTAGATAATACAGAAACTGATCATGATGCTATAGGTGCATTGGTCGATTGTGCCATACCAGAACAACTGGCTTCATTTCAACAAACTTTAAAGACATTTGTTAATCGTAATTTAAATAAACTGAATCTACATGTTACTGACTTGGAAAATGAAGTAAGTCACTGATATATATATATATATATATATATATATATATATATATATATATATATAGTAGGCCATATAACTTGCATGAGATGAAATATCAATGACTAATTGCTTGTAAGGTCCCAATCTACAATTACGTTTTTGATAGAGTTTAAATGTGTATTACCACTAATCCTCCTGGTTACCTTCAAAAGCTTATACTTCATATAATATTTTTCAAGAGTCCAGGGAAAAATGGAAAGGAATGGATAGAGGAACAAGTAATACACATAAATTGATGAATTATGCAACCAAGAGTTGCGTAATAAGTGAAATTCATTTTTTACACACTAAGTTAACCGAGGTTAGATGGTGGTTGGAGGCAGTCAACCGGAAACCCTGGACCCGGGTTTCGTGCTACTTGGCACTCGTCAGCAAGGTGTACCTGTAATCTTGAGGGAACTGGTGTTCCCTGACGGATTCGACCCCGTATCACCCAGCTTCATAGTCAGAGACGTTACCATTGAACATAGTGCACGCAATGTCAACTCACCTAGACTAGTGGCCACATTGCAACTTGGTCGATAGCCTTCGATCTGCACTAAGAAGGACTTGACACACATGACATTGATCACCACCCAGTGATCGATCAATTTTGAAGTTAACCGAGAATTCTTCGATATTAACTAAACCAAAACTGATTATATGGAAAACATACATAAAAATTTATAAATAAATAATCACATTGATTTATCGTTTATGCTTGTACTAGCAGAGTATTTACCAAAAAATATCGGGTCTATGTAGAATATCTGACCTTCTAAAATTAATATACACTATCTTCATGATTCTATTAGTCAGAAAAGAGACTGCTTACTACTTACAACTTACCTTTTATATCAATACTGGAATGTGATTTGTGAATTCCTCTAAGTTGGTTAAATTCGTTTCTTGAATTATTATTATTATTATTTAAACACATAAACATTGGTACAAGGCGGTAGCAAATACATATGCGCCACCCAATAACAATGCGACCAGTAGCAGTTATCATTGACTTGTGTGAGGGTTGTGATACTGCCAGGGTGCACGGACCGAAGCAGGTGGTTCTCTTAGAGAACCACACCTCGAGTTTAAAGGTCCAATCCACAAGGCAGTGGAAGAACATTAGGAGACGTTGTCCCATGATAGCATGTGACCAACAATAGGTACATACGCCATTTGTTTCCTTACGATCCTGGAGCCCATGTGCACCATTGGTTTGGAATCAGTGCTTTCCAACTTCCCTAGGTGGATCCTCCGTATCTACCAACCTGATTAAACCGCCAGACATCGGCTTTTCGTCCTCTCAATTTCGTAAACAACACCCCTACCACGAGAAGGCAATGAGTAGAACTTCCCTGGTAGTGGTCGTATGCAGGTGGCTATGTGAGAGCATTGTGAAAGAGAAAGCGAACTCTCTCCACTCTCGGCCGTACCAGGGCATTTGGGGACTTTTGAATTGATACAATTTTTGGGATTGGAACAAACATTTTATTTTAATATATTAATAAATTTTACCTAAAAAGTTATTTATTTTTGCGATTGATATTTTTGTGTCTTAAAAAAATTTAGCGTTTTCTTAACTTTGCTTTACTATTCTTTTAAAATATGTTTTAAAGTCATGATTTGACAAAAAGGAGGTGGTTTTAAAACTTAATTTGATCATACCAAAATCACGAGTCCAGTTTTAAAAGTAATGCTTTTTCACTGATTTATGAATTGATAACTATCATACCATAGAAGTTTTACAATTTTCATCGATTTTATTTTTAAGCAAGGATTTCTTTTCATAGAATTATTTGTTTGAAAATAGCATTGAACTATGTAAACAAAGTTGACTGTTTGCTGTGTTTTTATTGTTGCCTGTCAATAAAGTTCAGATTGTAATAGTAGCGAGTATCACTACTAAAAATTATAACTTAAGTGCATTGAAATTGATTAAAGTTGGATATATCGATAATTTAATTGTGTCTTAGTATGACCTTAGGTGTTTTATGTATGTATCATTTGACAGTATTTTAATTAGAACAAAAAGTATCTGTCCAGAACTTTCCGGTTTTCAACTATCTCTTTCATGAGTAAAATCCATATTATTGTCATAAGACATAATATCCCAGGTATAAAAGTCAATAAACTAAATTTAACTTAATTTCCTTTTTAATCTATTTTGATAATTAATGTTTGTTCGTTTCAGCTTCATTAATTTTCTATCTATCCTCTTTTTTTAATACTTTTTTTTCGAAGATGAGTGATGGTGTCTACTTCATTTTATTACTTGGTTTACTTGGCAACTATTTTGTTCCACTGCATGCTTATCACATCACACCAACAACAGACGCTCAAAAGTTGGCTAATCTTCAGGTTGCCTTTCAATTGGCTCACGATGTTGAAGGTATTGACTTAGAATATAATCAACCTGAAAGTGTATTACGTCACGACTTAAAAGCAACATTACGTTTATTATATACATTATATACTCGATATGGTGATATTCAATAAGAGAAAAAGAATTTATGTGTGAATGAATCTGTATGCATCCGTTAACTAGTCATTTCTTTTTTATGCTGCATTATTATTTTGTTGCAAGAGGCAAAATGCATTTACTTTTCTTGATTACCGTGTGATTTTTCTTAAAGATAATCCGTATTCATCATTCAGTTTATAAATGGTAATATTTTTTGTTCAATTTTTTTCTCTCATGAACCAGTTTATAAATTTTCGGCTTTATTTGCTTTTATTATGGATTTGACAAAAAGAACATTATGATTAGTTTGTGTTAATTAGGAGACTGTGTATATCATGTTATACACCAATGAATATAAACTGAAGTACTGATATTAAAACTTATGCAGTATTAAGGCTAAAAGGTACATGAATGTAAAATATTTTGAGTGTAAAATCATTGACTGGTGATGCAACGTTGTATCTTTTTGTCACTATCCTCCCATGTTTTACGTTGTTAGTGTATAATAATAATAATAATAATAATAATAATAACTTCTGTCTGCGTTATTATGTTATTTGACTTATTTTGTCGGCTATGCAAGTAATCCTCCTTGTTTCATGCTATTTTTAACCTTGTCAGTTTACTACCAACTTTTTAAAGTCTGTCACGTAGCTCCTGTCTACACATATTTCTTCATAGTTGGGCTTTAGTTACCGAAAAACAAGTAATTACCGTTTTATCGAAATGGTCTTGATAGATATTTCAAAGATGATTGTTTAGCTTCCAAATACAGTAATCCCACTGCAAGTAATTGGAGATCTGAAACTAGTTAGCAAGATACTCTTTTACTACTCTCAGTAATAAAAGGTTATGAGTAGTAGGTACCTGAATAGGTATGATGCTAACAGGGTGGTCTAAACAAGTCGTCCCTAAGTTAGACCAGCTACTGTTGGGATTCTGCATTTATAGGATTAGTGTGGCTTCGTTGAATAATGTACTTGTTCATGTTTATGTGACAATTTGTTTATGTAAATACGCTGGAAACATCCTTGTTGCAAGGCGCTTGGAACATTCTTTATCAGTTTCAATAACCTACGGGAGTTGTACATTACCGTTAAGTGGCTTAATTGTGTTCACTACCTGCCTCAAAATGTTGAGTTTAACATCACTCCCAACCTTCCGTTCTCCATAATTTATTTAATTTGAATCGTAAGCTTGACACCTGAAAATCAGGAGGCAACAGATGGCTGTTTCACCCTATTGTGGGGCTTCTAAGGGATGCGCATTCATGACGCTATTAAGTGTCAGGCTCATATCACTGAGGTATATTGGCAGGCTCTTAACTTTTAAAGAACTTAGTTGGCATTCAACTTTATACATTTCCAATCTAAATCTATCTACGATATTGGGCGACCATCATGTTTACTTTTCTATTCCAAGAGATACTGTTATTTTTATGGCTTCTCAACTTGCTGGTCACTGCTTCCGTTGTTTTGATGTGAAGTCTGACAATTGGAAGTGGCATTATTCTAACAAGTTCTATAAATTATTATTAGCCTCTTAAGTTTCAGTGCCACTTTATGGAGTGAATTTCGTGGCGCTTAGTGCTAGTTACATCGTCTTTTTAATGAAAAATGCAGGAATGTGCATAGCATGTTCTCATTACACACATATAATGAGTTGGATGTCTTGTATTTCGAATGGTTATTACAAATCACTATCACACCGGTCTCAAGCAGGTGTAGTGAACGAGAGTGAATTGATTTCCAGCTTCTGGTGGTAGGAGTATTTACACCGGTGTTATAAGTGAAGGTCAGTATATACCTTTGTGAGTATTATTTATTTTGTCGACACTTTGGCATTGGAGATGAGAAAGAAAGTGCTCGAATTGTATTCTAATCCCGGAATAATTATACTGTAGAGATCATTAAAAAATCAAGAGACTGAAGAAGTCGGTGGGTTGTGAATGTAGAAGCATGCTTCTGAAAAGTGAAGTATATACTTGTTGGTACATTGGTATTAGTCAACATGCATATTGTGTCTGTTTTTTATTTTGCCCACTTTATTTGGGCCTTCAAAACATGTAGGAGCTGCAATACTACAAAATCATGTTCATGACAACTTCATAATGCATTGTTATCAATAATCTCATTGTATAGAGAATCATGTAATCTTTTACTTGCTAAAACAATAATTGATCTATTATCTTATTTTGATTTTCAAGCGACTGACTAAGGAAATGTCAAAAAGTTTTCATTCTCTGCTCTCACGTGATCATTTACATGGTAACTTGAAGTCCATGTTAAATTATTTTTATGAACGGACGCATAGTAGCAAGTAAATCACTGGAAATTATTGATGATGGTTGTTTATTTATATCAAGTTCATTGACTTAATGGTGCATGGAGTAGAACTTAAATAAGCGAACGTATGAGTGTTGTCATCAGAGCATATCCCAACTCATCGTGAAACGCACCTCTTCCGAATACTTTGTAAAATTTATATACTACGATATCTCCCCTTATAATGCAAACACATCTCTCCTCCCAACTACCCCGAAATACTTCAATTGTAATATGGACATTTCAGTGGAAGAGACTCGAGCAGCGATGGTGCCACATTCTATCACTTGACATTGTCTGCCGTCACTGTGACTGAGGATTCAATCTAGAACTCACTGATGCAATTTTATTTATTGGCTGAACGATCCATTAGGATTTGATGTAATGTCATGAGTAGAATTAAATAGATTCAGACACGCAGTTTTAATTTAAAAAATGCCTAAATAACTGACACTTCCTTGTCAAGATCAACACGTGTATAATCTGAAGGGCATTAACTATAGGGTTGCGAGGACTGCTACGATTTCGCATGTTTGTTAATCGCCACATAGAAATTCTTATCGCGCATGTCCTTATGTACGTAGACGGAAATAAAATGTATGGGGTTATTGTATATAAAGGTGACTGTAATCAGCGCTTCGATGAAAGATATTGCTACTGAAGAATTGAAGAATGCAACACCCTGAAATTATAATATTTGTAGGTAAACGCCTACCGTCTCTATTGTTATCAACGGCTAGCATATAACGTATTCTGGGCTTTGTTGTGAATAAACATAGACATCGGTGGTTAAGATGGCAGAGAAATTCCAAAAAATTGTAGTTTATCGATGAATGTGAACTGTGTTGTGATTGGATTGGAACGCTGAAGCGTCTAAACAACGCCTAGAAGTTAATGTCTAACCCGGCTTATTCTGTCAGGCTTACTAGGTGAATTGGATTCCCGATGAATAATCAGTAATCCATTGAATAATGACTTGGCTAGGGTTCATAGACATCTCACTAACTCCCATTAAGTCCTTAGATTCTTTTAATTTTCATCCATCCATATCTTGAAACTCGTCATATCAGTGCATCACATTTGTTACGGGAGAACTCAAAGCACTTGTTTGACTGCAAACCAGAGCTTTTAATCTGTTTTCTTCGTCCAACTTCTGAACTTGGTTTACACATAACTTTAATCTTGGACTTTGATTAAGTATTCTTCATTTTCGTGCTAGAAGTTTAAAATATGAAGACTGTTTAGACAGTTTGTAATCTTTGAATAACATATAGCTGTCTGAGACTATGAATGTTGGTTTCCGCGTTGTTTACCTGTGGGTTGCTAATCTTTCAATAAACCTTCATATAAGAAATGATTAGAACTGGAATATATGATAAATTTTTTAGAGTGTTAATATCCTGAATTGAGTTTAGAGGTTTACCAATAACAAATTAAAAGGTTGTAGACAGACGTCATCATGTGATTTCATACTTTATTGGCTATAGAAGGATAAGAGCTGACTAATCCAACATGCAAAGTGGTTCAATAAACCTGAATAATTTAACTTTACTTAAAGCTCAGCATTACACCCTCTGAAAGTAACTAAAAAACCATATATCAGAGGGAAAACGCCTATTCTAAATCTTTTTTTCTTGCCTTACAAGCTTGCTATAACTAAGGTTGTCTACCAGCTAATATGATCGCAGATCATTAGGCGTACGAAATCAAGTAATGTGTGAGTGATCATCTGCATAATTGTGTGTCATTATAACGAGGACAGTGGCAAAGTTTATCCAGCCCTTTGATTCAAATGTGGTCAATATAGAGGGTAATCATAATACTTTATTTGCTAATACGTAAACATGTGTTTAGGACATTTATATCTAAGTTTCTTCTGACAGCATCAATAAAAGAACTAAAATACAATATGAACATCTTATAAAAATGTGATTTCTCAATGGATGACATATTTTATGGTACATCTCATTCCCAGTCATTTTTTTGAACTGCCGAATCTGTTTTAATACTCCAAAATATTGAATGTTTTGTCAGCGCGAATCCTAAAATAAATGTGAGTTTTCGTGAAGATAGGGATTCAATAAACTATTTTTCGTATATATAGATGACTTTTAAGAGTTTTTGTAACATAAAGATGTGTATAAAATTTTATTTTTTGCAGCACAAATGAAATTAATTGCGTTTTATACTTATGATGTATTTTTTTAATTCATTGTCGTTTAGTCAACCCTATGGATATGTTCTGGAACTTTTGTAATTAATAAGCTGTGAATGTCATGACATGAAACGTGTTTGAGCTACTTAACATGATTTATAAGAGTGCTACAAAATACTGTAGTTGCTTTATTTTGAGGACCTGAGGTTAGCATTTTGGTATAGTTACGGCCTGAGGAACGAAACTTTTCTTTGTTTTTATTTTATTTCTTTATAGAAAGTGCTTTTTCACTTCCAATATTAAGGAATACTGTTATATTTGAGTCAGGTTTCTTATTTTCGATTTCATTACAAAATTCTCTGGCGACCATATTCCTAGTGCAACACAAAAAGAGTAGCTACGAGGTGTTACATTCAAACAACAGACCTCATTAGTAGTCTATTAATTTTCATTAATTTTTTGGTTAATCTTTTGTTTTGCATTCACACACCGCTTTCGAAGTTTGTTACGCCTTCGATCAGTCTTCTTCTAATTTAAAACTAGACGAGTTGGTTACCGATTTTTTTATCCGTCTTTTTCCACAGAAACGTAATTTCCCAGAATCTTTGTATCAGGGTGTTGTCACATCAGTTTTTGCTATTGTGGAATTCAGTGAGAATTTTACTTTGTGTCGTACTTTCTATGGTTGTTTAGAAATTGTACTTAGATTTATTCAACTATGGAACCAATCCACATAAAGGTTTTTGTTATTAATACCCCTTACTAGCCTGGAGGTCACAGGACATTTTGTTGTTTGGTTGTATTATGTCTAGGTTGAGAAGTGGTGTTGAATTCACTATTTCTAATATGTAAAGTCACCAAGCTATTGAATTATTTGATTTAAAACCAATTCATTTATGGCAACTTGTTGTGTTTATGCTTACCCAGACTAGTATCCATTTAGGTAATTCCTCGTTGTCTGATACTGTAGAAGTATGAAAATTGAAATCTTTTATTCAAGATAAACCTTGAATTTCCAGATACGTACTATAAAACGCAACTTCATGCACTTTAG